TGTTTATAATAAAGATGTAGGGTACAGTTCAGGGTTAGGTATACAAACGTTGATTATGCAGGTACCCTCATTGATGAGATGTGCCCCACCCTCCCCAGCAGTTTCCCTCAACTGCCAATCCCACTCCCCTCCCCTAACAGTTTCCCACTACTGCCAATCCCTTTCTTATAGTATTATAATTGCTCAAGGTCCGCTTATGAGTGAGAATACATGGTACTGTGTTCTTTGTTTCTGTGATAGATCACTGAGTGTGATAGATTCTAAATGCATCCAAGTTGCTGCAAAGTCCTTATGTTTGTCCTTCTTTATGGCCACGTAATATTCCATTGTGTATAGGTACCACATTTTTTTTTTTTATCCAGTCCAGCTTCGATGGACAGCATGGTTGGCTCCATGTTTTTGCTGTTGTGAATAGAGCTGCAACGAACATATGTGTGCAGGTATCTTTTTTGTAGAATGATTTGAGTTCCTCTGGGTATATTCCCAATAGGGGAATTGCTGGATCATATGGAAGGTCAATTTCTAGTTCCTTCAGAAATCACCACACTATCTTCCAAAGAGATTGCACTAGTTTGCATTCCCACCAGCTGTGTAGAAGCGTTCCTTTTTTCCACATCCTTGCCAGCACCTGTTGTTGTTTGTTTTATTAATGATGGCCATTCTTAATGGAGTTAGGTGGTATCTCAGTGTGGTTTTGATTTGCATTTCTCTGATGATGAGTGAGGCTGAGCACTTTTTCATGTGTCTGTTGGCTATTCGGATATCTTCTTTTGAGAAGTGTCTATTCATGTCTTTTGCCCACTTTTTAATGGGGCTGTTTGTGTTTTTCCTTTCGGCGTGTTTGAGTTCCTTGTAGATGCTAGATGTTAGGCCTTTGTCAGATATACAGTTGGCAATATGTTTTCCCATTCTGTGGGCTGTCTCTCTGCTCTCTTGATGGTTTCTTTTGCTTTGCAGAGGCTCGTTAGTTTGATGAGGTCCCACTTGTCTATCTTATTTCTTAAGGTATGGGAATTTAGGGGTCTGTTTAGGAATTGGTTGCCAGTTCCAATTTCCATAAGGGTGTTGTCTCCTGCATTTTCTAATTCTTATAGTTTGAGGTTTTACATTCAGGTCTTTGATCCATTTAGAGTTAATTTTTGT